CAATAGGAAAGGTGTAGCTAGACTCAGATTGCCATGAAAAGCAACAATTATAGCAACTTAAGAATTTTTTAACCTTCAATTTAATGTGACAAGTGTGGGCCTCATCCACATTTACCCCAGTTACCAGTTTACCTTTCTCATCAGCCCGAAGCTACTGGGGGCCATGTGAGTGGGTAACCATGATACAATAGTTACCCTCCCTCCCCCTCTCCCTCCCTCCCTCTCTTCTCTTTCCTGCTTGAGGTATGCTTATTAATTTATATACGTGGCACCTTTTCTTACACCCCACCCCAAAAGAATCACTCCCAAATTTCTGGTGGATCAGATTCAGGCAAGCCTTGGAGTAGAAGATACGGGTCTTGCCTGCATCTTTCACTCATGGTTACCGTGGGTGAATTTGGTCCCTGAGTGAGCCTGGCAAGACCTGGGGGGCAGAATGCCCTTGATCCAAAGCCCAGCAGCTTCCCTCCCACCAGAGGTTGTGCGTCAGCGGCTGTGTAGGGTGGAGCCTGTGCTGGTGCAGTGAAACCCACCCGTCTCCGGTCACCCTCTCCCCTCAAGATGAGAAGCTCTGAAACAAGGAATCAGACTTGCCATCTAGGAATGACACTCAAATTTGGGGGCAGATAGAGAATTTGGAGAAAAGTTGTGTTACTATAATGTGGTCATTAGCTTGTATAGCATTTGCGTGGAAGGTCGATTCTTGGTGAGTTTTCTCGCTGTCTCTCTTGGTCTGGTAGTTGAAGAACATAAACTCCAAAGGGCCAGTGAGAGTTACAGGTCCAGTCGGTGTGAACTTTCTGAGGGAGCACAGCTGTATTAGATATGCTCTGGGCGTCACGATGCCCTCTGTCCCAGATGCCCGCTGTCCCCTGCCGACGTCCTGTGCTGACAGAGGAATTGAGAATCATTTGGATCTAGCCCGCCTCTGAGGCACATGGAATCCAGAAGCTGTCTGCAGAAACCAGTGTGAAAGGGGGGAAATGCGAGCTGGGAGGAAAGGCTGTGGGAACCAGGCCGGATCTGCATGATGTGCTTGTGTCCTCTGTAGTTTCCCAATATTGGAAGCTGCTCCTCCTACTTAACCCTGGGCCATGCATAAAATAACAATGCATGTGAATATTATGTGAGTGCAAACCTCTCTCCTACCCTTGCCCCAGGATGTAGTCTAAGGCAGGGAGGGAGGAGTCTTTGGCATGAGTAAAGTCAGAAGTTCAGAGGACACGGATGACCACAGGGATGCACAAAACCATGTCTGACCACGAGGGCAGAGGTACTATTGTGTTCCTTCAAATTGCTGGAATTCACGTCGTGGTCCAAAAGACCTCAAACTAGCCTGGGCCATGACTGAAATGGCTGCATCTCTGGGAAAAATTCACATTTCTTCCAGAGGGCAGTGGGTAAGTGGAATGGGGCACTGTTAGCAAAAGTTCGGCTGTTTGGGGGAACCAACAGAATTCTACCAAGTGTCACAGATGCATGTGACCTATTCCATGAAGCAGGAATCTCATTCCTGGTTCCCAAGCAGCACAAATATCAATCACAATGCTCTCAAACATACAAGTGGGTACATTTTGTCAAATTTTCTTGTACAGTGTATTGTCGCCCCTCACCAACCATGGGATTTGGCACCCTTTCAGAGTTCTTATCTATAGCAGCAAAATCATAGTTGGAAAGGTCAGTCTCCTAAACTATAGGCACTGGGGAAAATGATACCAGTTGCACTGATATATGTGATTAAAACAGTAAGTGAATTCTAGCAGGCATCCATCCCCAAAAGAACCGCTGTTTAGTGATGAGAGTGACCACCGTGGGTGACTTTTGAATTGCCTTCTGCAGTTGTATGAAAGGACCCACATCATCTGCTGAGGCAGACGCTCCCAGCAGCCAGCCCAGCACGTTTTAATGTGGTAGAACAGCCCTCGCTGGCTGGAAATGGTGAGCTCTTTGCAATTGCTCTGAGCTCTGGATCTGTCTC